CAAGTCAACGCCAAGCAAGATTTTAAACGAATGTTTAAAACGACATTAATTATTACTAGACCCGATAATCTCCAGACCCATCCATGTTTTTGCAAAGAAAAGAATTCCTTCTTTTATACAGACACGTAAGTATTCCATTGTGTAAATGTACCACAACTCTTTGATCCACTCATCTACTGATAGGCACTTGTACTTTTTCCAGATCTTAGCTATTGTAAATAGAACATAGAGGTACACATATTCTTTCTGATTAATGTTTCTAGATTCTTAGGATCCCAGAAGTGGGATCACTGGGTCAAAGGCACTTCCATTTTTAATTTGAGGAAATTCCATACTATTTTCCACATTGGCTGCACCAGTATGAATTCCCAACAACAGTGCACATCCTCTCCAGCACTCGTGGTGGGCATGAGGTCATATACCCTTCTGGTTTTAATTTGCATCTCTTTGAGGAGGAATGACACTGAACATCTTTTCATGCCTATTGGTCCTCTTTGGAGAAGTGTCTATTTAGATCCTTTACACATTTTTTAATTGGGTTGTCTTCTCAGTGTTGTTTTATTAGTTCTTCCTTATGTATTTTGAAAATTAACCCCTTATCAAATGTATTATTGGCAAATATGTACTCCCATGCAGTGGATTGCCTTTTCATTTTGTCAATAGTTTATTTTTTTGTTTTGTTTTGTTTTGTTTTGCTGGGCAAGTGTTTTAATTTGATGTAGTCCCGTTTGTTTGAAAGTACAGATGTACAAATAGTAAAGAAAAATTTCTCACTCATTCTCTCCTTGCTTGAGAAGATATTCTGATTCACTAATTGGTTAAAACACTCATTGTCTGAGGACATAACACTTCAGATTTTTTAAAAATAAATGTAAAACTTCGATTTCTATTGAGATCCTTAATTGAAAAAATTTAGCCAGTTAAAAAAACTACTGATCTAGTCACAAAACACAAATCTCCCAATGACAGAAAAGATATAATCAGTGTAACATAATTTAAAATTAGTCCTAACTTGCAAATGTTTATGTAAAACAAAGAAAAATATCTCTTTCTTAGGACCTTATTAAATAAGCTTATAGGAATTAATAAAAAGAGTAACTTAGATCATAATTCCCTCCTCAAAATATAGGGGAAAGTTGTTTTTACAAAGTTAAATCTTAGACTACTTTTATATTAAATTAAAAGACCCACTTTCTTCAGAGAAAAGAATAAACATTAAACCACTTGATTCTTCATCCAGTTCTATAAGAGTGACTCTAAACTTCATATGAAAGACACCTCAAAACTGATATACCTAAACTGAGATAAGTTTCATTCTTTTATAGGAAAGTTCAAAACATTTTCAACCATTTTTATCAGGCTGCAAACATTTTACTCGCATCTCTCATAATCATTGCTATTCTTGTAGTGGACACTGGTAATGACATTAGTAAAACAGAAAGAATAATACTGCTTTGGATAATATTTCCAATTTTAATTAAAAGTATTTTAAGTTCTTAATGTTTTCATGACATTAGAACGCAAGTCCCAACCATACACATTTATAAAGTTGCTTACTAGGTAGTTACATGATCAGGGAGGCTTTTTAAACATATATGAAGCTGCATGTCTCAAGGAATAGAAAGTATTAATTAATCCAATGAGTTAGTTAGAAATTATAACTAACTGTATACGTAAATTATGTACATCTTCAGAACCTTATTGAGTAAAGATTTAGTATCACCATTTTAAAGATGAATAAAACTGAGGCTCAGAGAAGCACTATTATCCAGTAAGTGATAAAGTTGTAATTTTAAATCTTATCTAATTCTAAAACCCATGTCACATTTATTTTGCCATATTTCCTAAAGAGTCAGACACCGCCAAATGAAGTTTTAAATAAGCTTATTCCATCAGTTCACCAATTCTGTTTGTATTGTATTCAATTTAGGAAATTTTGTTTTGTAAAATATCAAAATTTTTTCCATATTCCTCTACATTTGTGTCAACATCCTCAGCTTCCAATAGCCTAAATTCAAATATTTAAATCATAAAAATGTATAGATAAAAAAATGTTTCATTCATTTGGACCACAAATAGTTATCAAATGCCTACTATGCAGCAAGCCTATGTTAACTGCTATTTTTTGTCTCTATTACCTATCACTAATTTACTCCATCAGTATATAGAGATGTCTAAGATGAGAAACTTCATTAACCCCATATTAGAGTAATTAGAAACAAATGAGCACTTATTAACACATTTGTCTGAAAACTAAGGTATTACCTCTTCCTCTACATATGAATATTGGTGTCATTTTAAGTTCTTAGGTGTGTCATCCCCTCCTATCATTAATGAGATTTATATCCAGGAAATAAAGCCAGGAGACAGAGTAGAGTAGTCCTATCAGTATGTAAGTTAGAGCCAGGAGTACTTGGGTTATTATTGGTTGTGAAATCTTAGCTACACCACTTAATCTTTCTGAACCCTAATTTTCTCAGATGTAAAACTTCATTATATCACCTTGTGAGAATTTTGTGAGAATTAAACTATATATATATATATATATATATATATATAGAGAGAGAGAGAGAGAGAGAGAGAGAGAGAGAGAGAGAGACTGAAAGAAACAAATGGCAAAATATTAGCTTACTGAAATAACTAACTTTAATTTAAATCACTATAATACCTGATTATTTATTTCACCCACACTATGAGTTCAGTAATTATTTCTATGCCAGCTCAGACTTTTCATGTTCATTCAACTGCCTTGTCAATCTCTCCACTTATTTGGATATCTCAAAGATAACGGACTCAATATGTCCAAAACCAAACTCAGGATCTTCCCTCTCAAACCTAGGCCAGGCTCCTTCCAACGCTCCCTATCTCCATAATAGTACCACCAGCTATCCAGCGGCACAAATTAGAAAACTAGAAGTTGCCTGGTACTTCCTTCTTCTTCACCTCCATTTTTCATTAAGTCCTATTAATTTTATCTCTTCAACATTTCTCAATTCCTTCTCCACTGCTACCTTCTAACAATTCTCCGTATGTCCACTCTTGTATATTCTGTCCTTTCCACACTGTAGCCAGAGTTTTATATTTTTTTCTAATCATGTCAGGCACCCACTTAAAAACTGTCTATGGCTTCCTATTAGTCTTAGAATTTCTTAATCAAAATTTATATCATAGCTTGTAAGACCCTGCAAGATCTGCTTCAGTTTACCTCTTTTCTCCTCCTACTGCCCTATGTCCTTTTAGTTCCTTAAATAACAACTCATCATGTTTCCTGCTACCTTAGGGTTTTTGTACATTGCTTTCCTCTCCTGGCCCACTCTTTGCCCTTCTCTTTATTTACTCAGTCATGATTATAACCCCGCTAAAATGCCATTTCTTCAGAGAAAGCTTCTTAAGCCTCTAGATAATATCAGATCATTTAGTTATTCACTTAATAATACTTATTAATAACCTACTCTATACCAGGTACAGTTCTGGACATGTGGGATTGGTAAAAACAGCAAAGACACTTGACTTCATGGACCTTACATTCTGGCGGAAGAAGACAGGCAATAAGCAATAAAAATAATAAGTAGATTAAATAATATATTTGAAGGCAGTAAGTCTATGGGAGGGTTAGAGGAAGAACAAGATAACAAAATTACAAGCAGGGAGTTTCCAGTGCCTAACTTGTTTCCTGGCATAGAGTTAGCACTCACTATTTATTGAGTAAATGAATGAATTTATTGAGTAAATGAATGAATAAAGGAATACTAAGCGTGTTCAAGTTATGAGAGAACTTAAACTATGAAATGAGTAGAGGAACTACTTTTTGGAAGAAACAAAAGAAAGGGAAAGCATGCAGGTCTTGGGAGATAATGGTCGCTTGAAGCATTCTTGATAGTTTCATAGTTTCTAGTTCCAATCACTGAATGGTCTTACCAAAACCTCTCTCCCCACCCCCTAAGGACTGGATAATTCAAATGAGTCACTCTTGTAACCAAAATACCTAATCAGGACACATATACAAGATCATGTATACCACTTCTATCACCCACCACCACTCATTTCCTCCAAACCACTGCTTTTCTACACACACCCAGTTATCCCTTGTATTGAGGATCCAGTTCTTCCGTCCCCCACCCATTTTAGGGACAAACTCCTTCTCACATACACACAGGACTTGCTGTCTTCTATGATCCTGTAAGACTTAGGTCACTATCTCTCCAAGCACAGCCCTATCTACAAGGGGGTCACCTCAGGAATATGATCCTGGGTCTCTCTTCTTGTGAGTATTCTCGCCTCGTAAACACTTATCTTCCACCCATAGGATTCTGAATGACCCCCTTAGATTCTGAATGACCTTCAAGCTCACTGATCCCCCTACACACTCGGGGGCGGGGGGTGGGGAGGGGGGGCACCCGCCTCCTTTGGCAGGGCTCTGAAGGACTGGAGCTCTTGTCCTTGTATATACCCACATGAGGTTACTTTTCTCTGTGACCAGGGGCGACCCTAAGGCACTAGACTTCCTCAAAGCACCAATACCCGGTGGTGTGTATACCCCCTTCCACAGCACTGCTTGGTTATTAAGGAACACTCCTCTTAGGTACACCTGCCTCCTCAGAATCGGAGCCACTCTCCCCAAACCATGCCCCTTTGGGGGGCCCTCACATTTCGCCACAGGGTCCCGTATATCCTTTCCCCATGACACAGCCTACCCCAAGGATGAGCCCCCAGCGGTCCTATGCCCTCCCTGAGGTCCCAGCCCTCCCCAGGTCCGTGTTCACTCAGGGGTGTGCATACTCCTCCCTACACCCCAGCGCCACCAGGACCCCGAGGTCCCCGCTGGCCGCTCCAGGGGCAGGCTCCTCCCTTGACCCCTGACCCCGAGGTCAGAGCCCCATGGAGCACATACGCGGCGGCGCCTCCTCCGGCGCAGGGCCACACGCAAGTCCCCGGTCCCCTCAGGGCCCAGGACTGAGGTGCAGCCTCGGTGCTTCCCCTGGCCGAACGCCCCCACAGACCTGCCTCTAGCGCCGTCTGGCTCCGCTCCGCCATTTTTTGCCGTCCCTCCGGCCTCTGAGCCCACCCGAAAACCGCGGGGCAGTGGGGAGCAGGCGATAGGATCTGCGGGCCAAAGGGAGCTCGCTCGGGAAGACGCGGCGCAGCGGTTGCCAGGGCAACGGGCTTCCGACTGCAGGGTGACGGGCGCGTGGCGAGGCGGGCGGGGGGGGGGGGTTGGAGGGGGCAGGCGGAGGGGAACGGGGGACTGACAGGGGAACGGCAGGGCGGGAGGGAGCGGCGCTCACCCGAGGTCCCGCCCCCAAGCCCCGATGCCCCGCCCCCTAGTCCCCAAGCCCCGCCCCTTCGAGGCCCGGCGTCCTAGGGGCTGGAATTCCGCTGCTGCTCTTCCCTAGGCCATGCACCCTGGCTACTGAGCATGCGCCGCCCCCTCTAGGGCAGGAGGACCTGAAGTGCTGGCATGACCTTCTAGGCTCCCTGGTGCTGACCACAGGACTGGGTGGGCTGGCTTTTCTCCGGGCGCTCCTCAACTTTGGGAGCTTGGGAAAGGCTTCTTGATTCCCCAGCGCTTTTCCACCTGACCCACAAGGTGCCTGGCCTGGTAATGTCTTCAGCTGAAATGCCCCCTAAGAATCAGTGATTCTGTGCCCAAACACTCAGGGGTCCAATGTTCCTTGGGCATCACTGTCCTGACACTTATGGGTGTTTTATGCAGTATTCACTTCTCTTTTTCTCAGCTGATGGTGAGCTCCCCTGATGCCTGGGGTCCATCTCTTCATCTTTGTACTCAGCATAGTGCTGTCACTTTACTCTCCCGCTCGGGAATTTCACCCATATGATGAGGAGTCAGTCCTGCTCTGTTCTTGAAAGAAGGCCTACATGCTGGGAAGGGGCCATGAGACCGTATCTCAAGGCCTGGCCTGGTGTCAGCACTGATAACTCTTTCTGGGGCATAGCCCATGGCCTCTCTGGAAGCATGCTCAAAAATTCTCACTCTCCAACAAGCTGTAGGAATTAACTTCATTGAATACAGGAAGATGGACAAAGGGAGTCTGAAGAGCCAGGTTTCTATTCGAACTCAGACCTCAACATTAAGTGCTCAATGTTTGTGGAACGGAAAACGATTCCTAAGTTCACTACTGCACATTCCTACCTGTTTTACTGAGCACTTAATTTTTCAACAAGTGCCTTGCTAGTTAGGCCCCCACTCCTCAAGGGTTCACGGAGAAAGGAAAAGAGATAATGGCTTTGATAGAGGTTAAGTAGTATTCCAGGTGCTACAGGATCACAGAGATGAAACTAAATTGGAGGGTGGGAGTAATCAGTGAAGACGTATGAGAGGAATGGATTCCCTAGCTGAGACTTGAGGAATGAATAGTTGTCAACCAGGCAAAGAAGAGGAGGAGCAGCTGGGGAAGGGCTTGGGTCCTGGCAATGTGTTTGGGAGGTAAACCCATGAAACCACAAAGTGTGCTCTAAGTCATAAATGGGGTGATAGGTTAAAGAGGATTTGACAAGTATAATTCCAGTAAATACAGAAGCCAACACATTTTAGAATGATTTGCTTAAACATTCCTTGATCTCTCTTCTGAGACAGACTGTGTGAAGATTCTGAAGATAAAGAGGTGAATATAACGCTGTCCATGGTTTTTAGGACCTCACAGTCCAAAAGGGAAAAGAGACTTAATTGGTAATTATACCCTAATATCATCAGTGTTCTGGTAGAGGAAAAGCATGGGTGCCTGTGGGAGCACAAAGAAGAGCACACAACCAGCCTGGTCGAGGGGGAAAAAGGAGAGGTAAAGGGATGGTCAAGGAAAGCTTCCTGGAGGGAAGGGCATTTGATTTTCAAGGCCACATAGGATGAAGCTGGGCAAAGAAAATAGAGGTACAGGGAGAAAGGAGAAAATATGTATGGAGTACTTGATCCTGAAAGTGACAGAAACCCATTGACAGGTGTTTAAGCAGGTCAAGGAGCTGGTCAGCTGCTCTGATTACTATATAGAGAGTAGATTACAGCCAGGAAAATTGGGAGGCTATGTATTAAATACTCCCTATACAAGTGTATGCATCACATAAAGGTTCTCATCAAATGATAATTTGAAAAGTCGACAAATATTTTTGTATAAAACTGCACTGTTCAATGTATCTTAAATAAATTTTAAAAATCAGTTACTGCCGAAACCGGTTTGGCTCAATGGATAGAGCGTTGGCTTGGGGACTGAAGGGTCCCGGGTTCGATTCTGGTCAAGGGCATGTAACTTGGTTGCGGGCATATCCCCAGTAAGGGGTGTGCAAGAGGCAGCTGATTGATGACTCTCTCTCATCAATGTTTCTAACTCTCTATCTCTTTCCTTTCCTCTCTGTACAAAATCAATAAAATATATATTTTTTTAAAAATCAGTTACTAAGTCTGATTAGCCATATGACTAGTACTCAATAGCCACATGCAGCTAGTGGCTACTGCATTGGACAGCATATACAAAGCGGGGCAAAGGTAGGCATACTATTGTTTGAGTGTAAACTAATACAATAATTAATAAATGATAATACAAGAATAAACTCTTTGATTTGCATCCTCAAAACTGTAAACCTACTTTTGTCCCACCCTGAATACAGAGATGGACACTGTAGAAGGTTCTGTTAGACAACATGGATAGATAAATGCCACCTTAGTATCGGAAATGGAATGCTTGGGAAAATCAAACCCTGAAAGAACTAGGTTTAGTTCTGCATCAACTCCTCTTCAGGGAGTAGTACAGAAGAGAGGGCAGACTTCACTCCTGCAGGAGTCCTCAGAGACCTCCAATTTGTTATGTGAAATAGCACAGCATGAGAAGTGAGATAAAAATGCCTGCCCCCACGTGGGCCATGCAAGTTGGTTTGCCCATGCTATCATTCAGAATGTCCCTGGGTGGTCTGCCTTCCCCAAGGATCTCCTATGGTTTTTGTCTCCATAGACAGCCTCCCAATGCCACAGAGCCAGGGTGCCTTCCTTCTGACAAAATAGTCCCTGTAGGATTCAATCATTCCCTATGTAAACACTAAAATAACACCTTTCATGTTACTTTTATGCATTGAGTTAGATGCAGTATGGAATGAAACATTCAAGTTATAATCGCATTTCTTAAATATACTAACTCATTCAATTCTCAGAGCTACATTGTAAAATTGGTATCAATGTTATCATCCTATACAAAAGGTGAAAATGGAATGAGTTTAAGAAATGTACACAAAGTCACTCGGTGAGAAAGTAGCAGACCCAGGGAAGACTGGAATGATGCTTAAGAAATTCATCTATGTTATCTCATGTCATTCACATCAAAACCTTGCCTTCGATGTTTACAAATTAATTGGGAAGAAAAGATTAACACATACAAATCCAGTTTACAATTAATTTCCAAACATTATGGTAAGAACAATGATGCAGATATGCTCAGAAATGTGTAGGTACATCAAAGAGGGATGCCATTGCTGGGCACCAGAGAAGGTTTTGTGGGAATATTGACCCTTGAGCTGAGTATTAAAGGATGAGGCAGAAGGAAAGGGGGAGAGGGTGTTGGTTAGCCAGATGAGGTATAGGGTGAGGAAAAGAGAGGTGAAAATACTTACTCTTTAATAAAGCTTCTCATTTGTATTTCTACTGTGCTGATGTTGGTTTGGCACTCTAGAAAAGTTATCAATCAGTCTTTTACTATTTGGCTTATAAGATTGTTAAAAAATAAAAAGGGGTCGCCCTCGCTGGTTTGGCTCTGAGAATAGATCATTGGCCTGTAGACTGAAAGGTCCCAGGTTCGATTCAAGTCAAGGGCACATGCCCAGGTTGCCAACTTGATCCCTAGTAGGGGCTTGCAGGAGGCAGCCGATCAATGATTCTCTCTCTATCTCTCTCCTTCTCTCCCTTCTTCTCTGAAATTAATAAAAAATATATTTCAAAAAAAATTAAAAGGGGGAAAATGTCCTGCCTTATGCCAAGGCTATCAAAGAATTATCTGAAGATATTTTCTTGACCTGGATAAAGTATTGAAATGTTAAAACATTCTGAACTCAAAGATAAATATTCTCATGTTGAAAAGAAAAGAATCAAATGATGCAAAGTCACTCTGACCAGAATGATCTTTTCTTCACATATCTCCCTCACTGACTGATTTCATTCAGATCTCATCCCAAATGTTTCATTATTGGAGATGTCTTCCCTGGAAACAATGTTTAAATATTTCATAGTTTTTATAGTATTGTGAATGGTATCTTATGTTCAATAATTTTTTTTATACTTGCTTTGCTCATGTAGACAAATGCTATTGATTTCATAAGTTATAATTGTAAAATATACTGAACTTTCATATCACACCAGAGGCCTGGTGCATAAAATTTATGCACTTGCAGGGGTTCCTCAGCCCAGCCTATACACTCTGGCAGTCCAAGAGCCCTTGGGGGATATCCTAAGCCAGCAGTCAGACATCCTTAGCACTGCTGCAGAGGCAGGAGAAGCTCCTGCCAGCTGCTGAGCTCGCCATGAGCCTAGCTCAGGGCTTCTGGCTGAGTGGCACTCCCCCCGTGGGAGCATACTGACCACTAGGTAGCAGCTCCTGCATTGAGAGTCTGCCCCCTGGTGGTCAGAGTCTGTCATATCAACTGGTTGTTCCACTGTTTGGTTAATTTGCATATTAGCCTTTTATTATATAGTATAGTTTTTTTATTGTTTCAGATTTCTTTTAACCCCTAAGAAAAATCAACAGCAATATGGTAGCTATACTTTTAATGTTTCCTGAATTATTGCTTTGGCCAGAGCCTTTAGTATTGTGTTAAAAAGTAGTTTACTACTGGGATTCTTGCCTTTTTCTGATATTAAAAAAACTGCATGTAAAGTTTTTCCATTAAAAATAGATTTTGAAAGAAAATATTGGTCAAATTGAGGAAAGTTTTAAGGAATTTTTCAATTAAAAATTGATATTAAATTTTAAATTAAAACTTTTGTTTGCATCTACTAAGATAATTATGTGGCTTTTTCTTCGTTAATGTAGTGAAACAAATGG